TTTTCTCCATTATCAATTGTTCACTCTGCACAGGCAATTTCCTGCCATTTTGCCAGTGCTGATTGCCACTACATCCATGTGAAGGGCACTAGTCAAGAAAATATTAAGGAAGAAATTTATCAATTCTACATCATGGAAATTAGCATATACTATTAGGTACACTTGCATGAATAACCAAGTAAAGATGACTGAGGTTTCTTGTCTTCACATGTTTAATTAATCTGTAATTTAATTTGAAATGGAAGACTGGGAGAATTCTGAATACATAGGAGGAAACATAAAGATTTGGGACTTTGATGAAGGGTCACTAATCCTTATGGATGAGAGGCATTACATAATGTTTCATGTGCTTTTCTAATTGATACACATCACTTGGAAAGTATTTCTATTTTGGTATCAGATCAATGACGCTGATCAGTAATAGACAAATTATCAGCCAGGACGATTAAAAAACCTCTTTACTTTTAATAAAACACACATTTTAGGCCCCTGAATCAAGAATCTATTCCTATTTATTTTATTGGTATGAGATAATGATAATGTAGGCATGCCCCTTCCCCCAAGAGACTGAGAGTGATGACTCTGGGTCATGTAGGATGTTGTAAGGCTCCTCACAACAGAGGGATGTCACATTGCCACTGGGAACCTTCAGAATAGCTTTCCAGGGTGGAGATTCTTGCTTCTCCAGTTAGAAGCTACAAATGCATCCCCTGTCTGAAAATGCTCCATGTTGGTGGATTCAACCAACTGAAATTTTGGGAAATATTTAAGTATTAAACAATGCTTCAAAAAATCATATCTGTACAGAACATGGACAGACATTTTTTCCTTATCATTATTTCCTAAATAATACAGCCTAACAATTACATAGCATTTATTATGTACCAGGTACTATACATAATGTAAAGCTTATTTTGAAGTATTTGGAAGGAGGTACAGGAGATATTTTATTAAAGAGACTTGAGCAATCATGGATTTTGGTATTTAATGGGGCATCTTCAACTGTACATTAGTTTGTGAGATTGTGCTGAATAAACACATCCCATATTTATTTAGTTACTCTATAAATTAGAGTTTATGGGCACATTTGGAATAACAATAGAATAATCAATAAACAATAGAATAATTGAACAACAATGCCAAACTTTATTATTCTAAGGTATAAAACAATTCCATTTCCTCTTTCTCATTTTTTTTTCACCAGACCCCAGTAGAATAGTCTGTATAGCACCTGCTGTAAAGGAGGAATTAGAGTCCCAGAGATTGGTCTAAGTTACAGAGCTAGATTTCAGTCAAGCCTAT